GGGGGGGGGGGGGGGGGGGGGGGGGGGTGATATCACGTGACACCTGCGTGGTTGCAAGTCGGCCTATCGGACAATAACCGCACAATTCACTACTTATTAAATTTGTTTGATTTGAATCAAGTTCTAACAATGTAATTTCGTCCGCAGGGTATTGTCAGATCTAGCTGATGCTGCAGATCGCCATTGATGAGGCTGATGATGGCCTGAATTGTGTTATAACATAGGTAACATCTTTTGGGCGATGTGGCTGGAGACCAGCATGTTATCGTCCAACATGGCTCGACAGTTTGCAATCTCCGTCGCGATTGTATGTTGACTGGTCAGGATGATCCTGCCGAGAATATCCCATCTCCTAGACCTGGTTCGATAAGGGACTTTAAATTTATTATTTTATATAATTTAATGAATTTATTTCGAGTTCTATCAAAGTTAAAGCATGAAAAGACCGATTTTTATAAATCTTTGAAAAACCTATCTAAACTGCCGGGCAAAAAAGTATACAGTTGAAAATTGGATTTGACCAAAAAATTACAAACGTTGTACGATACTCCGCATATGACATCCGTATCAAATACATCACAATAGAATAACCATTTCTTGTTTGTTGTTTCATTTTTAGCCACTATTTCCTAGCCACTAGGAAGGAAATGCCAGTCAGTTTATGCAAAATTTACAAAATATCCGAAATGAATACCGAAATAACTTAAAGAAATCAACGTGGGTCAAGAATTAAAGTAAATATATTGAAAAAAGTGTCAAATGCTTCCAGAAAACCTCGAAAAAGCTCTTGTAGTGTGTTAAATAGTCTCCCTTTAGTATTTGATGCTGAAACAAGAAAATGTTAAAAGTGTTAAAAAGAATTAGTATTTTCTGTTTTTTTCCTCTAAATTTAAAATTTGGTATTCTAATTAGACAAACAAATCCCATGTGACACTTTGTAAATTAACTTATCCGTGGCAGGTGATAGTGTTACCTTTGTAACAACGTGACCATGTAACAAACCGGTCCGATGTTTAACAAAGGGAATGTATGGGGCTATTTGATCTCTGTGTTTATTGAATGTTACAAGATGAATGTTTAATGTTTATGACTTCTTAAACTTGCTGATCAAGATATACTTTCTAACTGACCTCTCTAACTAGATTACTGTTATGGAAAACACACCCTGTGGTTGAGTGATCTCTTCAGAGAATCAGACGTTGTCCCAACAAGAGAATGAACAACAACATGTTTTAATGTTCTAAATTGCTTCTTTCCTTTACGCTTGCTGGTAATAACAGACACCTGGGCCCAGTTCCACAAAGCGAACGTAGCGCTAAGGCGACCGTAACTCCTATACTTTAACATAGACTTACGACAGTCGTAGCGCCACGATCGCTTTGTGGAAGGGGCCAAGGTCACTGTCAAGCTACGATTGAAGAGAATACGTATACGAATAAATATTGTTGTTTAAGTACAGAGCTTTGTCACGTTTTTTAAAATAAGATATTGTCTCATACATTTGAAGAATAACCGACACAAAACAGGATACTGTATTATTTAGCAAAATAGATGATTTAAAAATGATTAGATTTATTTGGAATAGGATATTTAGTAGAACCTATATATTTTTGTTTTTATTCACGGACATTTTACTTCATGGTGTTAATGATTGGCTAAAATAACTGAAGGAACGACTTTGGTGTTGTATAGAGATGACGTCAACGCAGGGAATAACGATCAGCCGATGAAACAGATTCGGACGGGCTTAAACGACAAAATAGTGCTGCAAATGATAGGATTGGAACACTAAACAATTCACTGGTGACACCAGGTGTTGGCGAAAGGGTAAGCATGTCGTGTCCTAACTAGGAATGAAAGAATATTAACAGATCTTCTAAATACCTTCACTCAATTCACTGGATCGATTAAGCTGAAACTATTTGTATATATGCTCCTACTGATTATTATGTCAAATTTGTTGAGAAGAATCAGATATGTCAGATACGTTATAATTATTTGCATTTTCAATTCACACATATATGTTTTAAAATTTCTAGAAAACATGATATCTAAGAATTCTGAACATGGATTTGAACCTTGGTATTAGTGTTCCTACCAAATCTTAATCACATTTTTCCTATCCATAACGTCCATATATCTATGATATTCCTATCAATAATGTTACTATCAATAATGTTCCTATCATAATGTTCTTATCCATGATATTCCTATCCATACTGCCCCTATATCTAGGATGTTCCTAGAGTACTGAAGAACTTAACAAGCTGGTTTTGTTAACTAAACCAACATCCCATTCATAACATAACATCTTCCATCAATGGTTTGATCAACTCCAAGTTTGGGTGTAACCGGAACATTCTACTTCTTTTCTACATGGTCGTTATTTTTCTTATTCCGAATATCTATAATCTATCACAACTACAATATGTATTAGAAAGAAACAAACATTTCTAGCTTGTCTGTTTCCCATACGAAATCCTCAGTTTTAGATATGTAATAATTAGTATTTAACTGAAGAAATTGTGTAGAAATAGCATAGTCCCTTTGAGGTTTAATAACCCAGAATACATGTACGTCACCCATTTAAGTGGTTAAAACACCTAATATGTATTACCTTAATTTTCCCTTTACAATTTCTGAAGCTTTTAATGCATCAACCACATTTTCTTGTAATTATTTTCAAAATGATATTCATTTATAACTAAATGTTGTACTGGACTGGGAACTCCGTCTCTCTCCCCTATCCCTCTCTTACCCCTCCCCCACTCCTCTCTCTCTCTCTCTCTCTCTCTCTCTCTCTCTGCATAACTGCGGTCCTTGTGCAGTGAAATATGTAGGTTGCTCGTTACAGGGAATAGTCCTAAGATTCACTGAATTCGAAATAATGTGTCCTCTTGTGAGAAGGTCGCGCTCAATTACCTATAGATCCAGCCTCGTCTATCTATACCTGTGACTAGCCTCACAAAAATATTACAACCCCATGTTAAGGTGAAAATGATATAACAGTATAGTTCCCTGTGACATATAGAACAGTTGATGATTAAGTTCATATGTAAAGTGAACATATAGATTCCGCAATTTGATATTCAGCTGATATCAGACACCTTAGTTTTGACTGTTGTCATGACAATCATTTTGAATTATTCAAAATAAAAACTATTGTGTAAATAAATACGTACACGCCAGCGAATAATTAATCTCGATTATCAGTCGAAATAAATTCCAATGGGTGTAAAAGACAAAATAGTGATAAAAACTATGTGAATAGATCTCTATAGATCATTGAAAAATCATTACAGAAGGGTCAGTCTCAAAAACACAAAACAAAAAACTTGAACCTAAGGAGACGAAAACATTGATATGCACTTTGGCATCACACTACAATTTGCTCTTTGAATACATGACACATTTTATGGATCATAACATATTTTATCCTTTGTAAGGATGTTTCAGAGCTTCTTCTCTCACCTAGGAATCGGACAATGGACTCCGCTTCAGCGCAGAGTTTTCTTGTGATTACGGAAAGGATTTCTCGCTTTTATGTTATAATCATATATATATTATTGATATAAACAAAGATTTGGGGTATGAAGAGTGTTTGGGGGAACTGCTTCGCGGGAGGATCATTTACGAATATCCCATGATAACAAAATACAATTTTAGAAAGCCGAAAAAATGCGTGAATGATAGCTAAAATAAAATTAACGTTTGAAAAAAGTCGTCTGTTAAAATGCAGTGAATTCGGCCTTTTGTTTGTTTTCAGAAAGAGACATTTTTACAATCATGACACAAACTCCAATACTGGTTCTTCCTGTGCAATTGAAGTAAATGAAGATCATTTTCGTTTCCTGAGAAGGAAGACCAGGGCACAAATAGTTTTAGGATTAGGAAGTTCTTTAGCACCGTTATGCAATGAACACCTTACACATTCAATATATACTTAGTTGATAATGACGAATCAGTAATTGATAGAAATTGATGTATTTACACTGTTATTCGTGGCATACATATGTAATATTCAACCATAATCACAATTAGGCGATTGACAACCACATAGAGATTATTATTATACGAGCATGTGTGTCATATTGATTTTATAAGCAATAGTAATACTGAAGACTTACACGGGTTTCGTACAATTAGTATGAACACATGCTCGTATACTAATGTCTTTATTACCACATTATTTCTGTCCAACCAAACTACAAATTTTACCTATGACGTCATTTCGAGTGTGACGTCATTTCAACCTTACGTCACAATAAATTTCGAATGACGCCAACAGTCGGATGACTGAAACAATACACTGGTGCGCGAAAAGTGATATTTGCTCTAGTGCACATTTTATGTACGCGGTAATTTCTAACATAATGGGTAATAAATGTGAGTACTTTGATCCTTGTTTGGATATATAACAGAAGGATGTATATGTCATCGTAAATGTCCATGAAAATGTGGCTGATGTTGATCTTGTTAACTGTGGTAATGAGTTATAGAGTCATATGTTACAGTAAGGTGGCAAGTTGTGTTTCAAGTCCCCTCTGTGCTACATCCACAATGAGCTTGAAAAGTATTTGTGAACATGTCCCATAGTTGCCTTATTTTAATGCTTTTTTACTTTTAATCGTGTCTGAATTCGTGGACAACAATATGTACATGCTGAAACGTTTGTTTTGGCGTGAGGTCCACATGTTGAAATAAGTAAACTACGGTTATAACGAACACGCTTATAACGAACTGACGAACATATTTTTTAGTCCCGGCCATTTGTTGTATATATGCTGTATATATGCTTATAATGAACTACGGTTATAACGAACTAAAATAAGTGGTCCCTTTGTGTTCGTTATAACCGTAGTTTACTGTAGTACATGATTTCAGATAGGCGACTTCTTGTTCGGCTGATGTGATGGTTCTCCGTGAGAATTGACGATCGGATACCAGAAGGACAAAATTATTATTCTGAAGTTAGAAATATAACAAACGACGTGTGAAGTTCAGACATTTTATGAAATAAATTTACAATCAATGTATGTACAACACATAACATAAATATCACTAAACAAGGCCGGAGCTACCTCACGACGACAACAACGGGAACTGCCACCTCACCGTGGCAGAAGGGGCATGACATCGGGGACATGGGGCCTAAACAGGACCACCAACTGCTTCTCCGAGCCTCACTCAAGAAGATCATTACAGAGTTCTTCCAAGGCTGTTTATATTCCGTACTTGTCTTTTCCGTCTGTTAGAAGCAGTTTGATTGGCCTGTGCCCATCCGGCAAACATACCACCAGCGACGCCGGATGTCATCGTGGATTGTCTACCCTTGCCCCTTGCCACGCACAGGGGTGGCATGCACTATGATACCAGGGTGGCGTCACAACGTCCATTTTGTTTCTGACTCTCGCATTTTCTCGTATGTGGTACTTGAGAAGGAGAGTTTGTGGCAAGACTAGAATATATGTTTCGGGGTCCACCTGACAGGAAACCTAACTGGAGACGTCTAAATGTTCGACTTCTCCCCTGTGGTCTGACTGACTGTCTGTGGCTCCTGTGAGGGAGACACAACTATGAGAGCTGTCGTCGGCGCCATTGCTGACAACATCATCCTCACTGTCCTCCAAATCCACCTTAGATGAGTCGCTACTTTCACTGTCTCTTCTGCGCATGTCTACACTGTCATCATCAACACAGATCGAGGCTTCTGCCTCTTTATCGTCTTCGTCTGTCTCTGTTGTAGGTCTTGCGGGAGTTTCACTTCCTCGCTTAACTGCTTCCTCTTCGCGTTTCTGCTTCCTCCATTTTGCTCTCCTGTTCTTGAACCAAACCTAGAAAAAACAAATCGTAAGGAATTAGTCACAAAGTACACCACCATCGATGCTTTTTAATCGACTTTAGCAGATTTATAAGGTTACGGGCTGTTACAAAACAAAAAAGAACGAATTTAATTATGAAATTCGTTTTCGATCAGTGAGATACCATCAACAAAACAAATAAAACAAAGTTAAGAACCCATTTACTATCCCTGGCGCCACAAGTAAGTCCAAAGGGAGATGGTATCAGTGGACTAATTCTCCTCGCGGAATGTCTTCCCAGCCCACAAAAACGACCGCATCACTCTATAGAGCCTTGCCCGAGGCTACGCTAGCAACTTCAATAGGGAGAAATTATTATTTCATTTCGACGATCACCTTAGTGACTGGGCCAGTGGTTTCGACGAGAGTAAAGGACTTAAAAGCTGGAAAGAAAGCTATGCGATGGCTTCGCATCCATGTAGCTATCATTTGTTGTGCATGACGGTCTCTGCTAATTGCTCGCTATAGTTATTAGAAAACGCGGATCTTTCGCCAACGTCTGTCAAACGAGACAAGCGTCGTCTAGATCCCTTTGATGTTTCGCGCAATATGTATAAGTAATTCCTTAATTCTGTTGTTGTTATATCGATCATGTGCGTGCATGAACAATTTATGAATGTTATTTGCGCCTCTGTTGGCCTCGGGGACTTGGAACTCTTCAACGACGGGAGATACATAAAGCAACTACACATGCGCGCAAAGTTGCCGGAGGGCTCATGACAAATGGCTGTCTTGTGAAGCACGGAGGGAAGTTAGCAAAATAATTTAGTGCTACAAAACCAACAAGCCTCAAGTGATGAAACTGATCTCCAGCAAAATAAAGACGAAAAGAGGAGGTGTCAGCATCTTGGGGCTGTATTAGCATTGTCGGTCTTCACGGAGACTTGTCCGTCACAATACCTAATGGCGACTGATGAATCTGGGCGACACTCCGCCGGTCCCCACTGCCGAGATCCCCCTAACGCTGATCCCCCTTCTGTACCCCCTTCTCCTTGCCCAGTCACCTGTCCCCCCTGTCACCTCCGGCCCCCGGATTTCTCTACAGCCATCACCTAATACCCTCAAATAATCACGGTAGCGCGGCTAATATAATCTAATCGCTCAGAAATAAAAACATTACTTGGTTTAGATTATAATAGCTATCAAATAGACTTAACAGTTGGCTGTGTACAGCCTGGTATAGCTGGCCTAGGGGAATCAAGGGGCAACGGGTGCTGCCTACAACTGTGGCAACAGTAACAACCGAAATAACCACAACTGAGCCATGTAAACCGTCTACAACGGCATCTTTAATGACTTTTGTAAGGAGTTTAAAAGAGAATCTGTCATAAAATTGATTACCAGGGGCCACTTGCACAAAGTGCTCTTAGCGATTTGAATATCGTAAGTCTAAAGTATGCGAGTTGCGATCGTCGTAACGCTACGGTCGTTCCACACAGCGTTCAAAGCGCTACGACTAGCGTAAGCCTATGTTGAAGTATGGGAGTTACGATCACATTAGCGCTAACATCGCTTTGTGAAACCGGGCCTAGTACGAGAACAGGATCTGTAGTACATTTCATTTTCAATGTTTCAACAACCAGATCTTTCATAAGCAATATTTTAGTAACAGAATATGCACTAATTAACCAATATTTCAACAGCGGGATTTGTATTATATTTGATCACCAATATTCCAAGTACGAATTTTCAACAACGGGGTCTAGAGTAACCGTAGTAACGAATACTTCAACAGCGTACTTGTAATATATTTCACCATTGTTTCAACAACGGGATTTTCTGTAGCATTTTCTGTAGCAGCTCACAACCAAATGTTTGATGACGTGAACAATAAACGCTGTGTCGACGAGTGCAGCTACTCACATCATCTACATCTACATCTACATGACAAAGATCGGGGCAACAGCACAACATGTTGTGGTCGCACATCACTGGCGGTAAGGGACACATGTACTTGTAGTCGTGCACCAGCACCATTACCATATCTAGTGGAACCCTCGAACGCCATGTTTCTAATATTAATGTCAACAATGTACAATTTCGTTTGAATTGTGTTTAACACTGCATACGTTTCAATATCAGTTTGATCGCTACGGTAAGCGAACGCACTATAAAATAATCGTTTGTTATTGCAAAAAACTAGAAAAGCATAATCTAGTGCTGCTCATTTTTAGAAAGGATTTCATGCATTAAGCCGATATTAAAATATAACCGATTGAATGGTTGTAAGTTATTAGTTTCTTCAGAATATTTAATAAAACTATTTCATTTATCAATCAACTGGGAATCCCGAGACACGTAAAATGTATTGGCCATGCAAGGTTTGCCAACTGTGTAAATTTTATAAAGAATGCGGTTTGAAAGCACTCGACGAATCCGAGATTGTAACAATTTAATATGTAATGTTATCGGTTCACTGTTGTCTGAGTGAGGCACCATGTGGAGGTTGTACTTGCGTTGTGTTCTGGCGGGTTACAGTTCCGGGTAATAATCAAAGTAAATCGTCCTTTATTGCCAACTGTCAACACATTACGCGTATACAAAACTCATAATTTGCAGTGTGGTTAACGCGGTTACCTCAGTACGGTAAATGTGGCGGTTGATCTGTTGACGCGGTTACCACAATACGGATAGACGTGTTGGTGGGTATGTTGACGCGGTTACCACAATACGGATAGACGTGTTGGTGGGTATGTTGACGCGGTTACCACAATACGGATAGACGTGTTGGTGGGTATGTTGACGCGTTTTTCACAATACGGATAGACGTGTTGGTTGATCTGTTGACGCGGTTACCACAATACGGATAGACGTGTTGGTGGGTATGTTGACGCGTTTTTCACAATACGGATAGACGTGTTGGTGGGTATGTTGACGCGGTTACCACAATACGGATAGACGTGTTGGTGGGTATGTTGACGCGGTTACCACAATACTGATAGGTGTGTTTTTAGGTCTGTTAGCGCGGTTACCACAATACCGATAGTCGTGTTGTTGGATCTGTTGACGCGGTTACCACAATACCGATAGATGTGTTTTTAGGATTGTTAACGCGGTTACCACAATACCGATAGTCCTGTTGTTGGATCTGTTGACGCGGTTACCACAATACGGATAGACGTGTTGGTGGGTATGTTGACGCGGTTACCACAGTATGGATAGACGTGTTGGTGGGTATGTTGACGCGGTTACCACAATACGGATAGACGTGTTGGTGGATCTGTTGACGCGGTTACCACAATACGGATAGACGTGTTGGTGGGTATGTTGACGCGGTTACCACAGTAAGGATAGACGTGTTGGTGGGTATGTTGACGCGGTTACCACAATACCGATAGACGTGTTGGTGGGTATGTTGACGCGGTTACCACAATACCGATAGGCGTGTTGGTGGGTTTGTTAACGCAGTGGAGACGTTATCTGGCCTGACCACCATCGTACTTGGATAATATCTCGTCAACTACTGAACTGGAAGTATATCTACAGTCTGCGACTTTTTTCTCGGACTAGTAAGCTCAACTAAGAAAACCCTATGTATTTTTCATCCCATTCACTTGGACCAGGTTCGACATGTAATGGTGTGGTCAACCACTAAACTAGGACCGTAGCAGTTACTTAATGTATCTCGGATTTCTCCCAGATCTCCCTACCCGAAAGCAACCACCTCCCTCGGCTTGTCCCCATGGGGTACCGACTGAGTAGTGCGCCTACGTGTGAGTGAAGATGCTTACCTCCACTCTCTCTTCCTTCAGATCAACTTTAATGGCGAGCTCCTCCCTGAGCAGAACATCCGGGTAATGTGTTTTCTGGAAGGTCGCCTCAAGCTGTTCCAATTGTTCTTCGGTAAAGATCGTTCTGTGACGTCGTTTCCTTTTCTGTCCGGCTGCACGTGCCAAATCAGCCGGATTCATAAAACCAGGAAAAGGGGGGTAGGCGGCTGAAAAATTAATATCAAATATACAATCTCCGTCAGATGGATGTGGTAATGTACTTATGACATGTACAGTAAAGGCGGTGATCATTGTCAAAACATATTGACTAAATATCTACTTAAAAATCACCAAACCAGTGTCAATTGTTTTGTAATATAACAAATTGTTTTACTTACGACGCTTTTTCATTTTTTATGAAATAATTATATTTAAAAGGCTTCAATTTCAAAAACATGATTTTTTTGTTATATTCAAGTATATTAAAATCATATCACTAGTCTGTATGCAAAGTACGAAAAACAAAACATATTTCACGCCTAGACTTTGATTCAGTAGTAAACAGTTAATCTTGAAAGCTTTGCCTAAATAAGTACACTAGCAAAAATGATATAATTAAATCTCGACATGTTTAATTTATTTATGTGCACTTGTTTGCTAAACAGCAGCAGCTGTTGCTCTATTATATGTATTTTTATCATTTCATCCAATTAAGTTATCAGCGGTTTTAACGAGTTAGATGAAGAAGAGTACATGAAACATTTCAATGATATATTTTCGTTAATATCAATGAGTTCAATCAAGTGGATTATTGGGGTTCATCACAGAAACCTCTGTTGCTCGTGCGTATTTGTCAATTACAGCTGGTGTCTGTTTGTGTTTGAATAACACACGCTGTTAAATATATGAAAATATTTTGACATTTCGTAGATAATTAACAAGGGCTTTTACATATGAATTTAATTGTTATTCCCCTATCCATTATTTCCAACTGTGCCTTGATGCCTCTTGTGTGTCTACAATTATTATGTATATTGGCAAACTATCTCACAAACAGTTTACTACGCTCATTAACGCTACAGCAATTACCATGTCCTCAACACAGATTATTTAGAATATTTATTTTAACTTGATAAATAATTTCATTAAATTTTCCTACAGACTGCACATACTTCATACTACATAAATACTTAAATTGTTGACAACTAACGTTTAGATATATTTATAAAAAATGAACATACCTGCGTTCGTTTATAGAGTGAATTTGTGTGGAAAATACTGTATTTACTAATTTACACCGTGAAATTAATTTCGATTTATCATACCGATATTATTATGATAGAATAACATGTTCTGTTTTCAGATAGTACAGATGGAAATCATAAATCTGGCATCAGCCCCTGCGTTCAGGTGCATTACCTGTCATCATTTGTTGTAATTAGTTGAGCATTAGGCACTGTTTACCTGTGGGAAATTTACAAACACTTCAAACAGAGTGGCGACTATTAACTATGATGTCATCTAAAATCTATTTCCTTTTCATGAATATAAATTTACTGGTGTTTGTTTAGGCAGGCAATATGGCGGGCCTTATGTACGGTTATGTTGTTTGTTGTTGTTAATTGTCGATTTTAATTATGATATCGTTCAAAACGTAGATATCTTGTAGAAAAGAATATAACAGGAAAATTTTATCTTATCGTCAATATCAGTTAAGAGAGTAGTGTGTTTGTAGCAATTTGAACGGACCAATGCGATGGTTTTACGTACGGATCTATTTACTTAATAGACAATAACAGAGGACGTTTATTGCAAGGTGTTCTTTGTATATCTGGGATAATCCGGAATTAATACGGAGTGATAATTGAAGAAATAGCTCCGCTAAGTGAATGTTTTTGTTCCGAGAACATTAGCCTTTGGTGTAGGTGTAGGTGTATTAGCGTTTGATTGGGCCTGATAGACAAGCTGAGGTGAAGTGTTAACGCAAATAGCCGACAAAACCATGCGTACATAGCTAGCCCATTGGAAGATATGGCGGTGCAATTTATGTGTTGTTTAATAGAGATGAAACTCGAGAATAGTACAAAGAAGAGGTAAATGAACCCCCGAGCAATTCCCCCCTCCCCCTCAAGACACACACTTTCCTAACCCTCACTTATTTCACACAGTGAAAACAGCAGCTTTTCAGCCTCCATTTAACGGAACCCCCGCATCAATGTTTAATTCAGTGTTTAAAAAAGAAATTGTATACATAACAAAACACATGTCGTGACTACTGCCTTGTATGAATGTATGAATCATGTCGAACCTGTTACAAAAATGTCGATTGTGTAATTTAACACCACTTCTAAAGACAAATGGTGAAAATCGTACATGGGTTATTTTAAATAGGACATTATGTTTTATAAACGGAAAATATCATTCAAATATTCGCATAGATAGTTGATGCTATTATTCACGTGGGAATTAATAATTTGTATGGCTATTTTGTTATAATTGAGCGCGACAGCTAACGTTATGACTATCAGATTGCGGTAACACTAGACAACATTTGTACATTTGCCGTAATTGAAACTGACGTAGGTGTAATAGTCAAACAATGTTCCTTTTGGTGCGGTCGTGTTATTCAGTTCTATGACATTGTTTGCTTCTGTGACATATCTCGCATGAGGTAGACATATCTTATAAAGATTTTTCCTGACAGCGTTCGGTTGGCATATTAAATAATTGTAAACCAGTGACCAATACAAATCAAAAGTCGAAGTAAATAGGAAACTCATATTGTGCTTATTTTTTATCATTATTTGTAATCCCTATGTACTGTACATTTATTCTGCACTATCATTATTCACATACCACAATGTAATGAAGGAGAAGGCCTCGTAAGTCTGTCACTTGTGCCTAATCCATTTGATTTTCCGCAATAAAATCAAATGCTAAATGCAAATTTCACCTGATTATCCGTATTTGTGAAAAAAATAATTAAAAATTATAAATGTATTCATATATTTACCTCTTCCAACCCGGTGAAGTAAAATGGTATTTATGGAATGTATACAAATTTTGAAAATGCTGCAGTTAAATATGATTATTTAGCTATATATACTGTGTAGTTATTTTGAATAATATTCCGGTTGTTTAATGAGCAATTAATTTACTCATGATTCAACTTCAAACCATTTAACTCTTTAAAAAGCCGCTTCATTTAGTATCAGTATTACCTGTGTGTTGTATCGACGTCAATTTACTGAGACAATCGCCGACAAAGGTCTACTAATCCACCCTAATCAAACCACAGTAAAGCAATTAACACAAGCCGCCGGAATGGATTAAACACATAGAGTGATAATCCGGCATGAGAGGGATGTGATTGTTTCAAGGGTGTAGGCCGCCTTTACCATAAAGTGAGAGACCGCATTTTCTTAATTTAAACATTGTAAAAATATAGCCCATCACGGATTTCCCCTTACATCGATGAAAGTAGGATTGTTATTTATACCGAAAAGGAAAATATCATCATATAGTTATATATATTTTATGTAGTAATCTAGGTACAATGTTGAATAACATGACTTCGGTGTTTGTTGAATTACAGAAGAAATTCTGTACGAAGTGAGAGTATTCATCCGACCTCCAATATTTAGACACAGTTGTCGGATATATTTATATATATCATCTGACACTGATATTTAGATTTAAAAAAACAATTCATGTTTTCACTTTATCTATTTATATATTATCATGTGCGAATTAAAACATGTTCACTTTTGATTATCTCAACCTTCACGGTTTCATATCACTGCAAGGATTTAACCCTCTCAAAACCTTTTTGTTTTATCATTCAAAGATATAGAGCGGTATAAAATCCTGATATCTACCTAATGGTAAAAACTATTTGATTTATCTCAATTTACAAACCGATTTTTCTATTAAAAGCAGTTCTTGAAAATCAAATGTCTTCAAAATATAATTCAAAACGGAATTAACAAAACCTACGTATCTGAAAAATACGTAAAACTAATTCCGTTTTCGGTTTAATAACAATTTCACCTTTTTTTGGGTTAATTTTCGAGCACTTGAAAGGTTAATAGTACAAAATGTTAATTGTGTAGCTAATACGAAAACGCAATTTGTAATGTAGGTCTGCAGCATGGCCGCCCAGCTATTTCCATGTTGCGAGAATCCCTACACGTACATGGGGGGAAGCTGGCAAGTGGTAGACACATAATGCCCAATTCAAATTCTATTATTTTACTTAATGAAGTGGGCCCTGTAACTCACTTAGAAGATGTCAGTGCAATTACAGGCAAAGTAGAATCTCTGCAACTTAGAATCAGATCCCCGATGGCGACTCAAGGCTCATGGCCGCGTGGACATATGTAGCGCTAGCTAGCAGATTTCTCTCTAATTATCACCGCTGCCCGCGAACACTTAATGTTCTAGGGCATTACTTTAGATTTGGGGAAAAAATGTCAGTTTGAGTGGATAAAAAGTATTGGGTTAACTCTTTAATTACTGAGCCAATACAACGCGCAGTGTACAAGCTTGAGTGTATTTATATATGAAGGCAAGCAAAATTTTGAAATAAAAAAATGAATCAACAGAATTGTTTGATAGGCATTACTTAGAAGATGACGGATGACAAGGTAGACGAAATATTATGGATAACAACTTCTTTTATACTGCAAAAAGCGACGTTTCGGTATATATCCTTATACCTCAGTCCTGCTTGACAAGGGTATAGGGACTATACCGATACGACGCTTTAAGTATTATACAAGTTGTTATCAATAAAATTATGCCTACCACGAATAAACTGAATTATTCTGATTCAGTTTTCGCATCATGAGTTAAGTAAATGGTTGCTAATTGACACTGGAGACAATGTTATACTACTCACCGAAGAAGTCATGGTGGGTTGGTGGCATCCCGGGGTAGGCAAAGTAGGGCGTTGGTCGGTGGGCGAGGATGGGACGGGGGGCAAGAATACTGTCGATGGTGAAGATTGAAGGATGGCTTGCCCCCGCTGCTGATGCTGCTAGCATGGAGTTGTGACAAGACTTGAGTTGCTCTGCGGTGTAGTAGTAAGGAAGGTGTGGCATCATGGCCGCCATGGATGTCGGGACCAGGTCGGCAAGAGTACGCGGAAGGGTGGCTCGTGAATCCACCGACATGATGTCACTGTCGCTGTAGTTGTCAGTGTTGATGCCGACAGTGGCGTGAATACAAGAGTGATTCCAATGCTAGTCCAAATGCACAAATCAAAATGTCCAACTGGGTATTGTCCAAATATACGTCCACAGGTTCTATATATCCCGGTATATCAGTCGTGCTGGTTGAATCTCAGCTCAGATCACAACAGTCACATGTACCCTGTATCGAGTGAAGCAGTGTTCTGTCACACACCTCCCGTCCCCTCACTTTATACCCGAGGTGAGAACCCAAACAGTTTATCCCTAAGTACGACCTGAGTGGTGAAGAGATCATTTTATTGCAGTTTAATGAAATTACCTTAAGCCCTGCCCACTCTGTCATAAGGTTATTGTACGGCGCTATTCATCCCGCACCAGCCTGTCAAACTGTTTCAGAGGCTATTGTTGCTCATCTGATTGACAGGTACACCCAACCAATCACAGAGCTCGCAATAGTCATGGTTCACTGGCGACACTATGCATATTCATGAGCTGTCGCCATCATCCGGCTGTTGTAGCTGTTGAGGCAAGCGTTGCTGTCTATCGCTCGCATGTTTGTACATACTGTCACAGGATTTGTTAAATTCTTCTATATGTGAGTGTAATGTCTCGCCTATCATAACCACATTACATGTATATCATATCACTAATGCAGCACCACACAAAATGCTTTCAAATGACATGTTACGCTAGCATAATAAGTCCAACATTTGATATATTTTGCCTTTATAACAATCCTTACGTGCCCATCTTTTACATTTAATCATTTGTCTTTCGATGTATATGCTGACCAATTATATCATTGTATTTGGAAATAATGATAAATGTTCCAGAATATGTTGCCAGGGAAAAAATATCACATTGTTTGTGTCGATTTGACAGAATATTGTAAAACGTATTTTGTTATATTTATGTGACGATGCTGGGGATGTAACTGATGACGTGGAAGGAGCTAGCATCCGCGCGTGGTAACCCGGAGAAAACACGGTCACAATGAAATGACGGTAAATAAAATACCATCATGATGTGAAACTATCTTCCGATGGCAAACTCTACAGGCCTTATAATCCACGTTGTATGTTTTGAAAGACAGTCGACGGTGTTTTCGTATGATATATTACCACAATAATTCGCACAGTGATATCTTAGTACGCGTTATTTTATATATACGGTCATATATCGATGTTAAAATCTATGATCATTTGAGAAGCGCTCGCTATTCTATGACGAATTGTACCGCCACTGTTCGCACATACACGAAATAATAATAATAATAATAATAATAATAATAATAATAATAATAATAATAATAATAATAATAAAAAGCGCTGTGTAATATACAAGCTTTACCAGTTTCTTGCATTAATGCATTACCGATGCGGGTATACTTCATAATATTTGACATTTGAATTATTACGAAAAGTGAAAAACCCTGCTCTCTCCTCCTTCATAACAATGACATTGTATACAGGGTACTGTCCACCCCTAATACCCGGGAGCTGAGTGTCATCACGATGTAATACTGGACCAAGCTTCATCCCGCCTGTAGAACTAATACTACAACACTTCGACTGTTTTCCATAACCAATTCTATATGATAAAATAAATCGATTGAGATAATTCATCGTTTTAATTAAAATACATTATATATTCCAACCTTCCAATTTAATGACTTACCATCAATCCTATTGGTTTTAACGCTTAGTTTTTATGTTTATTTTGAATCAGGGTACAGTCACTTTTTTCCGCATCATGAAGAGTTCTACTTACTTGAACTTTGAATTATGGATGATACTCCTCATTATTTATCATACAGCTATTGTCCGTACGCATCCACAATGACGCGAAAAAATCACCCATCAGAGAAACGTTTCATTGAGGTAAACACTATGCATAAAATACAAAGATATTTCCCTTTGTAAAATACTATCATCAAACAAAGTCATATGCTTGGAAGCATATAAAACTAAAGTCACAGTGTGTGGATACAGCCAGTGATGGATCACACGATCTAATGTGTGGCTCAGTACTATCATTTGACTTGAAAATGCAAACACAAAAATAATATCCTAAAGAAATAGTAATATTATGTGGAATAAAAAAAATGGTATATAATTAAAGCCGTAAAAAGTGGCTTATTTCAATCATGATGATTTAGTTATAGTGAAAAAGGGACAAAATGAAATCGGTATTTTTTTATAGCATGGAGTTACAGGTGTGAAAGCTTAGCTGAGGTGTGCATGCATATGTGTAGAGGCGGTGGCCTCAGCATGTGTTGGAAGTGAGATTGCCAAGAAAACACTGACTTGGTGTACTGAGGGATTACTTTATTAAACCTGACACAAGGTGTTAATGCTATCTTGTTGCGACATGGACATACATCCGTTTTAATAACATTTGTTCCCGTGTGCTATAATCTTGGTTTATCCAATCTCTCTTGACCTTAAGTCGTGTAATGCGGTGAAGATAGGTGTTAATGAACTACGAGATTTGCCTGATGAGTATATAAGTATTTCTTTATCTATATTGAACAGCTTTGTGTTTGGCCTTTGTTGTAAGGTGGAATCCAGCGTGTTTGATGTCCGCCATTGACTGTACAATTACAAATTGTACAATTATAAATCGTACAAATACAATTCATTTCAATTGTTGAATTTATACCTTTATGCATTTTTTAACATACTGAATACTATAGCATAGGTGTTTTATCAACGTTTTTTACAAAACACTGTATTCTGTACATCTGACAATCTCCCAATCACTGAGGATGTATAAAGGTGACTATAAAAAAACTAGTGTGATGTAAGTTGGTGAATGTGTTATGTTAAAATATTCAGTTAAGCATAGTCAGCATCTCTTGATTGGATCGTGTAACTGATGCAATGCAGAGCGCGAAATGTAGACTGTCAGTTTGGTGTTAAGACTGAACTTTTCACACAATCAAACATGTTGTTTTTACAGAAAAAATAAAGTAAAGCATCTTATTCTAAATCAGGTAAACCCCTCCTCTATACCAGCACGAAGAGTGTGATAAGTATGTAAAAAGTTCGTTTTGATTAAGGGAATAATTGTCAGTTGATGTGATCAGCTTTCGCACATAAACGGTCAATTCAGACTCAATTTACTGTCATTAGTTAAACCTGCTACTATTGTTACCGGAAAACTGGGGATAGCAGCGCATTCGATTACTCCCCTTTGTTTTGGTGAACAGGAGAAAAGGCGAGATTTAGCGAGAGCTGTTACGTAATTAATCAGATTGGTCAATGCAGCCACGGCCTGGACAAAGAGAGAAGGAGAGCGTTAACCAAACAACGCTCGCTCTCTTTATTAAAATCAATTACCTTGAAAAGGTTTGTTTTTACAAGTATTTATTTCAAAGCAGGCTTCCAGTAAAGCTTGACATTGTCCGCTGTTTAACACAACCATAGTTCTAGCATAGTCAAGCACACGTCATAATCCACCCTCACTGACATATAATCCTACATGGCCACTTCCAACCAGATAACCTTCCTTGAGAATATCCTTTTCAGGTTCCCATTATTCTCGTTTGTAGGTGTAAATTAAAACCTAAATTATCAAATATAAAACGCCAATGCCAGAGAAAAGCCAGTCAGGGGTACTACCGAAAATGATTCCATCGGATAAAAGGCAAAAAAAACCCAGTAAAAGTAATTTGAATAGTTCACTAAAATTCGTAATGACACCAGGACCCAGTTGCACAAAGTGATCTTAGCGTTAAGATGATCGTAACTACCATACTTTAACATAGGCTTACGATAGTCTGAGCGCTAAGATCGCTTTGTGCAAGTGGGTCCAGGTGTCTCAAAAAAACATGTTCTCTACTTATTAAGGAGCGTTTTCGGAGGATATTAACCAAAATAAAATATACTTTATTTGCTGCATCGATGACTTGCGTCTTACACTGGATGACCGTAAACAAAGTCCTGTTTAACACCCAGCATAATATTATTTTGCATAAACTTCTTATATAATAATGTGTACAAGTTTGTCAAAAGATAATATTTGTCGAAATGTCGGCTTTTGAAAAACAATTCGGTGGGATGGGGTGGGGTTTGGGAATCAGCTTTGTTCATCATAATTGATCCCTGTGTTAAACACTTTTCGAAAGTTGATATAGAACTGGCTTCAACACATTCCGATGAATCGACCCATGCTGACAACATTCCACACACGCCTCCAGGCAATACCGCATAAACCCATCTGCAAATAATATTCATGTAGCAGATATCAATTCCAAGTCGATAGTATTCAAATTGAATTTAGACTAAAAACCTGAATTCTTATCACCATTCCTAACTGCAGGCGTTTGCTCGTCAGTTTAGCATCCCGCGAAATCATTAAGGCACTAACACGGCGCTCAGTAAGCATTTCAGGCCTCAAACAATGCCCCGACGGCAGATGTGCGACTTTATCATGGAATGTGGGATAATATCAGTTGTATTACCCTCACTTTACGGGCTATAAGACATACCTATATCGAGTGTACCAACCGTCTTGCAATGCCCGGGGGTAACACAAGTAACATCCAGGCTCAGCTGATAAAGCCACCCCTGCCTTCTGGGTGTGCCAGAGTTAACAGTGTCTCTGACGGAGTCCGTCATACCGTACACGGGATTTGCCATGTATATATCCCCGTTATGTGAATATATTGCCGATGTAGAGCTGATTGCTGGCGTTCGCAAGTACTTCATACATAATTGCTGATTGCACAAATATGATATCAGAGCTAACTAGGTGGTTGGGTAACCCGCGTCTATATACTTGCTGCTGTAGCGTGTTAAGTCCTGTACAGATTGTATGGTTGTATTTATGTTGAGAATAATGCACGTTTAAATAAAAGCTGGGAGTGTATTTTGGAACGAATGTTCAGTTACGCGTGCGGTATCTGACTTAAAATACAGCATCTTTACAAAAACAAATGCGTAATCATATTTTGAATACAGCTAAAAGTTAAAATAAATCAATACAAATAAATACTACACAAATATACTGCACGGAAATTTCATGCAATACGTTCGTAATGCATAGAATCTTAAATTTCGTGCTTCCATTGCCATGCTGCATTTGACCTAGACCGCATGTACATACTGCACTTGCATGATGCATTGCAGAATGTAGGTCAGTAAACTGTCAAATCGTTACAACTAATCTACTAAATGTAACACCCAGACAATGGGTTGATGAGACACGGTAAAACCATTAATACAAAATAAGGTATTAAATATAATATGTTCTGCTTCGTAAATCAAATGAAAAAATAGTCC